AGCAGAGCAGGCGGGGCAGCTGCGTGGAAGTCAAACAGAACACGGTATTCATTCACTGGTTCCTACGTGCGGTTGCAATAAACGATCAGTTTGCCCTCGTGATCCCCCGGTCACAATGTAATAAAAAGACCCGCACAGCTAGCTGCGGCCGACACAATACCCTGGGCGCGGGGGGGAGGGGGCCTAGGGGGGACACCCGCGGGGTCCAGCGGGTGCAAGCCGGAGCAGAGCGCCAGCCAGCAAGCAGTGGGGCGATATCAAAGAACTGACTGGAGTCACTACAAGCGGGCCAAATGTTGAACAAAATGATTTCGAAACGTCCCTGTGCAGTCTGCTGACCACGGCCGTAAGCGACGCAGCAGAGTCCAGGAAGGGGCTCGTCACAGCAAAATTGAGATGTCGGCTGGAACATAAACACAACACAATTAATTAGTTCATGTGTAGTCACAAAACAATCAAAATAAGACGAGTGACATTACCTGGAACAGTAGATCGGTAGTCCCATAAAGTCAAACTGCGGCAAGGGCGGCGGCGGCAGCGGTAGTCCTTCCCCGCGACTGCGTGCGAGACGCGGAGACAGCTCAGCAGCACAAGGCGGCGGGCTCGAGCAGACAGCTCGCTCGCAGCGTCCGAGTCGAGACGAAGGCAAACAGCAGCGGGGGCTAGGCTGGCGATAGGACAATTATAGGAAATTAGGCTCAAAACAAAGCAGAACGACATTCTAATGGGACACACGACTGACCTTGAGGAGGGAAGAATGTTCTCCAAAGTCTTCGTTAAGTTATGCAATTTAGAATAGGATATAATAAATCGCGGTTGATAAAACATTAAATGATTTCGCGGTTGAGTAAATCTTTAAATTAAATGATATCGCGGTATTGATAAAATCTTTAAATGAAATAATCCAATTTAACTTACGATCTCGACGTGAGCGAAAATGATCAAGTTGTTTAACATTGATGAGCGATCGCGGAAAATGAACGCGGACTGCAGCCAAACGGGCGCGAAAGGACTTTAGAGCATTGTTGGACAATGCCAATGCAGCAATGCAGTCATTAATGAGCTTTGTTGTGTATTGGAGATGAGTACCCTAAGTTGTAGCCCCCTAATAAAGTTCAAATCG